TTTCAACTTGATTTATTAATTCAGTGATAAAGTTCAGATAAATATTTCTCCCAAAAGTGGATGATGAATTGGAATGCTGATGTGTTCATATGGGTTCATCAGTTTTAACAAATATACTGCTCTGCTCTAGTGGAGGGGTACAGATATGGGGGAGGCTATTTGTGTTGGGGAACGAGGCCTATGGGGAGTCCCTGTACCTTCCACCTTCTGCTCAGTTATTCTGCGAACCTAAAACTGCTCTAAAAAGTAAAAAAAAAAAAAAAAAAAAAAAAAAAAAAGGTCGTACAGTAGTGGAAAATAATACAGTGGCTGCAGTGGGTACCAGTAAGCATGGGATGTGCCCTGGATCACATACAGGACCTAAGTTTTACTTTTAGTTCAGTCACTTATTACTCAGATACCTTGTATAAAGCACTTAACTTCCCCAAACTTGGCTCATGAGTTAAATGTGGCTAATACCCTTTGTCCTGGCTACCCCCCAGGTGGCTTGTGTGGATCCAATTAGACACTGCTTGTTCTTTCAGCCACTCACTCAATAGGTACCTATTGAAGCGCCACTCAATAGTAGGTTCAGTGCTCAATGCTATTAAAAGCTACAAAGAAAAAAAAAGCTACATAAATACATAAATATGTGATAGAATTATAGCTAATGGGATTTTCTCATTAAATAAAACTCTTTTTAAAATTTAATTCTTGTTGGAAGTCTCCCTAATCTATTTCAAGACACTCTCTTACCATAGTAAGTAAACAATATTATCTTTTTGGAGGGTTGGCTCATCTTAGGCCTCAATGTCACATGTCTAGCAACAGCCTACCCGTTGCGCAGAGGTGAGGATGAGGAAGGTGGAGAGGGGGCAATGAACAAGGATGCCTCAGGCACCCTCACATGGACACTTCTCTCCTACATTCAATCCTAATCATCAGCTGCCTTAATTATCAGTCCCACTTGCCCCCAAAGTGGTCTACAAGAAAATGAGTTTTTTTTAAGGTGTCAGGTTTTTGGATTCTAATTTATAGGCTTGGTAATAAGATTTAGGAAGGCATATTGCTAACATGAATGTTGCAGATACATTATAAAAATCTAAAACATGAACTAAGTCCTGCATTTGGAAATCATAGCAATGAAAGGAAAAAAGAGTCTTTCTTCCTTCTTTTATCTAACCTTGTAATTACAGCAACTTATTTCTCTTTAACCTGGATGATGGATTTGTGGAACGCTTTATTTTAGAAATCCGCTCAGGTCCCTTTTATTTCCTTTAGTTGTCATCTCCAGAAATCTATGTGCAACAAGTAGTGGCAATAAAATCATACTTATTGAAAGAAATTCTATTTCCCCTCAAAATTGTGAATAAAGCTATTAAGTACTAAGTAAAATGTTGTTTTCAAAATATTTTTTGTTTATTTGAGAGCAAGAGAGAGAGAGAGAGCATGAGTAGAGTGAGGGGCAGAGGGAGGAAACAGACTTCCTGCTGAGCAGGGAGCTCAATCATCCTAGGACTCCGGGATAAAGACCTGGGTAGAAGGCAGATGCTTAACCAACTGAGCCACCCAGACACCTTAAGTAAAATATTTAATTGATATAAGAACTCTTGTGAATGAAATAAACCAGAAGAAAAAAGAGAAAGCCATTTAAATATGTAAGTCACAAATTTTTTCACATGCTAAAGGTTACGATTAAATCTATAGGCTATTGATTACAGATCTTATAAAATGCTTAACATTTTAAAACTTACAAGAAAATGCCAAGTGATACAATTTTTAAATGAAGAAACTACACACAATAAAATAAAGTAGAAAGAGACAACCAATCTGTTCACTACAAAATTTATGACAACAAATTGGTAAGCAGCAATAAGACCATGAAAGGACAGTGGGATTTGACTCTAATACACTTAAGAGTCTTGAATTCATTTGTGTCTCTAAGTAGTCACATAGGAAAGCCATTTCAGAGGCTAGAATATATTTCCCTAATTAGAGGAAAGGGCTGGACTGGTGTAAAACACTTTGCCAATGCATGAGACAATTACCAATATTAGTAGATGCAATAGCATTCAGATCAGATTAAGGATAATAGTAATAAAAGAAAAGCAGAGACAATACAATGGTCATGATTTAGAAAGACACGAGAATGCCATCTCGACACCACCTGTAACCTGAATTGTGTTGGAGGAAAGACTGGAAATGCTAATAAGGAATGTGATTAAAGGTGGGCCTGTGGTTATAAATTGCTTTTTTAATGGTGATGATAGTAGCTGACATAGAGTATAATAAGAAGATGAGAATGTCACTATCAATTTTTATTAGTGTCATGAACAATATACAGTATATTTAAATTCGCTTCATTTGTATTAGTATTTTTGTAAGTAGTAGCTCTAGAAGCAATAACATGTCCAATGCATTCTAAAAAGAACTAAATAAAGTTGCCAATATTCCCTAGAAAATTGCCGTAACTTTTACACTGGATAAAATGTGCCACATATCCTGAGATACTCAGAATTCAGGCACACAAAAATTCTGGATTCCAGAGCACAACAAATCTGCAGAATCAATTGCAGCAGCGATTGTAGCAAATGGATAAAGTGGTGCAAAAATTTCAAAGACACTAAAAATATAACCTTCTGTATAAATAAAAATGTTTTCCCAAGATTTATATAGAATGATAGTTCAGGTCTATACTTGGGTCAACTTACACCACTTTAAGAAACAATTTGGAACTTATTCAGCCTAAGCATGAACATTCTGTTCAAAATAAGTAATTGTAAAATTAAGTAATCAGTAATTTTTATAAACTGATTCTTCTTAAAGAAAAATAGGTGAATTAATTTTGCCTATGAATTTTCCCAGCAATTATCGCCAGCTATCTTAGTTGATCTAATGACAAAGTAGGCAAAATTGAATATTTGACAAAAAAAATTGTAGAGAATTAGGGAAATAGGAAACATGATTACTTTTAATCAAAATATCTTCATTTGAATTTCAGAAACCTAAGCTATTGAAAAACAGGCCATAAGGGTTAACATATAGACTTTCAAAACTCCAGCCACTGACAAGATGAACAACAAACCATTTCTTTTTTATTTATATTCTAAATTGTTAGTATTAATTCTGTACAAGGGAAAGCACAGCCTGTTAGTTGAGAAGCTGGCCTGAGTCAGAAGTCTGGACTACTTACTAGCTGTGTAATCTTGGGCTAGTTATTTCACTTTCTTCATCTGAAAATTGGAACTGCCATCATTCCTACCTTATAAGGTTATTGTGAGGGCTACATGAAACAGAAATGTGACAAAGAAAGCTCAAGAGTATCTGGCACACAACAAGACCTCAATATATATTAGTTTTATTTTAATTGCTAAAGCTAACAGTGTGCTTATGTAGCAATTCTCTATTTCTCCAGGAAGTTTATATTAAACTTTTCCCTACAAAGTCGCTTCTCTCTGCTAATTTCTTCCTGTTTCTCTATGAACTAGATATTTCTCTTTAAGCCAAAACACACATTTATTCATTCCTTCAAAATTCTCTTTTCTTTTTCAAGTTATTTTTCAAGACACATCACTCAAAAAGCCCTGTCCCTCCCAAGAATGGTTTGACTCCCTAAAAAGACTGACTGGAGACAGTCATTTCAACAGCAGGGAAGACCGTGAGTGAGTTCCTTAGTCCTTGATTCTGCTTGGACCACCAGGAAACCACCTCCTGATAGGGCAAACATCTCATGTACTTTAAGACCTTGATCATCTTAAACTTGTCTTGATCATTCTGTAGAGAACATAAAGTCTCCAGATAGGAATTCTAAATGAGAGCAGATTTAAAAAGAAATTAAGCAAGCCAGACCATTCATTTAATCCTGTCCTGATACGAGGGAGCATTCCCCTTTCTGCTCAGATAATTTAAAACGTAAAATGTGAACTTCCAAATCATGAAATTGAAAGTGTAGCCAGGGCTAGGGACTCCCTACTAACAAATTTCCTCAGACAAGGGCATCAGCATGAAAGCCTATATTCCATTCTGATAGATACATGTTTCACTAAAGAGGTGAACCAAAACTTCGACAAAGTGAATCCTATGAGACATGGGAGTAACTAGGAGAGCCCTTGCTTCTGGAAATTGCAGAACACAGCTGCCTAGAAAAATAACCGTGTAAACTGTTCACGAACATGGTGTAAATTTTGGTATGTGTCAAATGCTGTTATACACTCTCTAGTTTTCAAACATTTCCCTGAGAAACACATATAGACCATTGTTTTCAGAAAGGTGGATTAGATGGTAGGATTGAGACTTTCTGGGTTTGCAATAGCAAACAAGGGACAAGAGACGAAAGACTGATCTTGCTCCCAAAACAATTTCTCTAAAAAATATCACCAGTACAAATATGTATGTCAGCATGTGTTTCTTTTTTAAAATGTACTTTTTTTTTATAAACTATGCCTTGACAGGGATTCTGCAGAAAAACAAACAAAACAAAAAAACCAACAACTAATTGTAGTTTATTCTGCAAAACGTATTAGGATGGATAACATTGTCTGAGGTGCTTTCACAGTATCTAGGGTGGAAATGAACAGACACACTCACAAACCTATTATTTCCCAATGCTTATATTTAAAAATTTATGATAGAATTATCTAATTATTTAAAACAAAAAGTGGGGAACTTAGGACTTGGGTCATCTTTTAGGCTCACAGATGACAGCTCAATTCTTCACTCATCACCTCGGCACAAATCAACCACATGAGAGTTGTGGACACACAAGCAGCAAGCACTCCACAGAGAAAAGTGGGAAACTGCATTCTGGCAAAATGTTGTGTTTTGTTATCAAAATGGAAGCCCTAATTTTTTGAATCAATTATGGATGGCTTTTCCCTTTCTCTTCTCCTTTGGGTATAGACAAATAAACCTGTTGGCCTATTCCTCCGACTACCACAGGAATCCTCAAGCTTGAAAAGTAAAAACATTCTAATAATCAAAGCTGATCGATACTAGAAAAAGTAATGTGGGGCAAATCTTACCTGAGCTCCTGAATTAGAGAATCTATTGGCACTGTTGACAAGAAGAAAGGAGAAAAAAATCGGTTTATAAATTTGAAAACTGTATGACTTTTCACCCACCTAGAGATAATGACCAATAAATGGTTCATACGAACCCCACTTAATTTCCCCCTGGGTGAATTGATCATTTCTGGTTCTGGTACTTTGGAGTGGATACCAGTGGAGAGATGAATATAGTCCAGAATAGATGATGCTGGTGTAAGTGCCTTAGGTGACCCTGGGACCTTGCAGTTGTGGATTGGGTTTTCTAAATACCTGTCTCTAAAGATTCATTAAAAACTTATGAGAACACAAAGGTCTTGAATTATATTTTAAATCAATTTTATTGTTCATAGAAAATTTTTCAAAAGAATTCTAAACTTACATTTTTATTGGCATTAAACAAGTATTTATACAAAACTGGGAAATTTTTACTAAGTGAATGTGTCCCAAGATTAGTTATGTTCCATGAGTTTCATACATATAGAAAGAGGAAGATAGGCTTTAACTATGTTAATATCAACATTGTTTTAAAAATAAGAATCTTGTAGAAAAAAAAAGCTTTGATTTTTTTCTGACAACTGATGGGAATTAAAGAAGTTCATGTTTATAAATACCTGCCTACACAAGGACAAGCAGCATATTGAGAAAGACAACAGGTGGTTTTAAAGATTACTCATGCCGCACGAGAAACAGTTGTTTCATTTCTAGAAGAACATTTTGGCTCTATTTAAGGGTGTATATTATGTGCCAAAAGAATTCAAAGTACAAAAAGAATTGCAAATTAAAAGACCTACATTTTTAAAGTATGCTAGAATCGTGTGCTTTTAGAAGTCAAAACAAGGGATTCATATAATCCAAATATAGTCCCTAGAATGCTGGTATTTATGGCAGATGTGAGCTTGTCCTAAATAACAATACAAATCATTTTTTTTTCTTAAACTTGTATTCTATTGAGAAGTTGATGCATAAAAATTTAATGCTTAGAACTACTGCATTTCAAATATTAGGATATATGATGTAACTTGAAGCAAAATTGTAATATCATGTAAAACTTCTGTTGGGTGGAGAAAATTCCACATTTTGTACAGCATTATTCTGCATTTTAGATATCATAACTAGTGATAACCATGGTTACATCTTAAGTGAAAAAAAATCATCCTGGAATTTATTAAAAGTTTTGGGATTCTGAACTTTACTCAGACAGGTGTTATTTCCTTGACCTCAAATAGAAACATAGCTAAGGAAAGGATTTCATTTGATTAGCCACTTCCAAAGGCAAATATCAAAAATCCTTCCAAACAATTGCATGATTGCTTCTTGTCTCAGGCCTTCCTTACAAGGCTAACTGGGAGAAGAGTCGGGCGGGGAACAACTATCCAGAGTGTTTTCAGAAGCTATGGTGAAACTACAGTTTTCCATTTAGAACTAAGGGTCACAAAAATATAGCTAATTATAATAAAAGTTATTCTCCTTAAGGGGTATTATTGCCAGTCAATCTTGTTTTCCAGATGTTTAGATCATCAAGGGCCTGTTTATATTTCAATATTACATTACCATCTGTTGGTTACAAAAAGAGAAGGATAACCGGCAAGTTAAACCTTTCAAATATTACTTTGCAGAGCTGCCGGAAATTCCCAGCAGGGACAGGCAAAAAACAAACATCATCATTTTACTTGAACTAAGTTTAGATTGGGAGCCACTAAAACCAGATAACATAAAAATCAAAACCTGCTTTGGCAGTAAACTAACAATTCTGTCTTTTCCCTTGGCCATTAAAGGTCACTTTAATAATTTGGAGGTTTCCGTGAAGCAGTCTTCCCTTGCTGCCCTTATGTTGTTTTGCATGATATTTAATCTACTCATGATTGCATTTTGTAAAAATCTATTATCACATATCATTGGTACTTTTCTGGATCCTTTAGCTCCTGGTTCATAATATTTTACTTCCCAATGCCATGATCCAATGTCCTAGCTTGATTTAAAAAAAAAAAAAAAGAGCCCTGAGGAAGTTATAATCATTCTGACTACACATTAGGGACTAAGCATTGGAACTCCCATATTTCATGGTGTGGTGGGCACGGTGTCATGGAACCTGCTTGCTAACTCACCCTTGGTTCCTTTAGAGCGGGTACGCAGCGTTTTATCTTCAGCCTCTGCATCCATCTGTAACATGAACACAAAGTCCTGAGGTCATCCGTTTGACATTGGCCAAAATACGAAAACAAGTCCTCGCAAGTTCTGAAAGTCATTGTGAAAAACAGTGTAGCCTTCCGTGCTCTTGAATAGCACCCTGCCTCTGCAGGTATGTAGCTATGACTGTCCTTACAGTCCATGAGCTTTGGAAATACTTTTATAGATGCTGAAACCAGAGGGAATGGTGACAAGAGGGCAGATGTCCTTGTCCATAAGTGTTTGCTAGTAATTCAAACACTTCTGGCATCACAAAGATAGAAAAAGAGGATTGTCTGATTAACAATGGTTGTAAAGGAGATAAAACTTCAAATGCCAAACCAAAAGATTTCAGACTAATTTACTAAAACCTGATTCCTTTGCATTTCTAGACCTTCTCTGATATATATCTGTTTCTAATTCAGGAAAAAGAGTCCCCTGTGCAAAAAAGCAACATGAAGACAAATCCCTGAAATACTCCCATTTCAAAATACCACTGGAGATGTGGATCATCAAATGACATACATTTACTCCCAGAATTCCAGAATAGATATTGGTTATAATAGTGCAAATCGATAAAGAAAGTGAAATTTGAGTGCTATATGCGTCAGCACCTAAGTCCCTAAAACATCATTATGAAATATTTTAAATGTAATCAAACTACAAAAGGAATGGAAAGAATTTAAAAGCCTGCTGTTTCTGTTTCTCTGAAGATAGTCAGACATGACTACTCCCATTGGTTTAACTAGAATCTTCCAATAATCTCTAGTTTAATACACCTTTGCACATTTTCAGAAGGAATTCTTAAACGCAGAGAAGTTGTTTTGCCTGTTGAAAATGAGAGGCAGGCAGAAGGTGCTGTCTGTGGCACCCATCCTTAAATCCTGATGCTAGCGTGGATGCGGTATGTATGACTGCAATGGTAATGGGAGGCGCATCTCTGCTCTCTAAGGCTGAGTTGTGATTGAAGGCACTGACCTGCCATAGACTTATAATAGGGGAGCAGGTGTGGCAATGATGGACTTTAATTTCCTTTAATAAACCTTTTATGTGCCACACTTTTACTGCCATTCGACGCTCTCCAAGGTCCTGCACATAATAGGTTCATTACTTTTGATTACTATAGTCTATTGAGACAAACAACTCCAGAACACACTATATATTATGTTCAGTTAAACCAATATAGACTATTTATCCATTGTGCATTTTTTCACCTGCAACACTACAGACAAAATTAACGACAGCTCTCGTAAGCTAAAACTATTAAAACCACCAGTACTCTTTGTCATCATTTCATAATAAACACCACACCAATCACTGAACTGTTTTTTTAAATTAGCAAACAAAAAGTATTCACAGCTTTTGCTAAGCAGCAGTTGCTTTAGTCTAAATAAAATGGTCCATCGTTATGAATATTTTAAAACTACATAATAAGAGAAAACAATAACAAAACAGAGGTGATTTTTTTTTTCCTGTGGATTTTCCTTCTTTTAAAACCACACAAATTTATGACAGATGTGACACTGCCTAGGATTAAAATGGCTTGGTTTACTCAGGATAGTGAGCACTGCGTTGTGAAATCCTCCTCCTCCATGAGTATCTCTGTTGCATATAAAGTGGCTCAACTCATGCAAACTCCCCTCCATGTACTAAATGAGTAAGTCGATTATGAGAGATCAGTAGCAGGAGGGTTAAAATAATGAAAACCACGAACCACTGCTGAGGAGGCTACTCCTGTGGGTGAGTAGCAACTCAACACAACTCTAATTTATCCTGCCACACAGGTGCTGAGCTCTACCCAACCACTCTGAAAAATCTCTCCCGAAAGTCAAGTGAAGATTGAACTCCATGAGTTTCTTTACCAAAACTGAAATACACGTTGCAAACAGTGCCAAAAGGTACATATAAAAGTTTCAGAAACCTACTTAAGTGTAACTTTCTTTATAACGGATTTAAGATTAATTCCATTTTGCAATTCAGCTATCCCCTTGGACCTGACTGGTCTGCAACCACCCCATGCAGCCGCCTCCCCATTAAAGTCATTGGAAGGAATGCATAAATATTCATGGACCTCTGCTTGATTATGCTTGGAATGCTTGCTAGCCTCATAATTGTATTTTGTGGTGCTATTGTCTTCTTGATGGTGTAGCATATATTATATACTATGTAAACACTTTAGAGACTGGTAACTCATTCATAATGCTAAGTTTTCAAGTTTAACTTGTGTGCCAAGTTGTAGAAGTGAGATAGTTCACGGCCACAATATATATTCCATCGATTTCACCTTCTTTCTCTGCTCCACAACCAAAGAACAAGAAAAGTTACTAAGTTCAGTGTCTACTCATGTCTGAGAGCTCAATGAGAAATAAGAACATCAGAAACCTAAAGCAATGTGCTTTCTTTTTAGGGGTGGAAGTTTTTAATGTTTATGAGATGGCTCACTCTCCTGACAGTTCTCAATCTGAAGATAAGTCTTTGTTTTCTAAAACCATATATATAGAAGTAGAAATTTCTAAGTATTCTTTATATGGGCTACTCTCATTAGGATTTTAATAAACTCCTATTAAGCAGAATTAATTTTTGTAAAATCTAACTTCATATTCAGTGGGTATGGCATTCTGGGAATGGTTCACTAAAGATGGAAAGAGATTTCTATCTCAGTGCATGTGTTCACACCTTAGGGAAGTGTGCCAGTGTGGGGGTGGGCGTGGATTTCTCATCCTTTCAACTTCTCCCAGAGCTATAGAGAAGGTCCATCATTATGCCATAATTCAGGAGAGTGACCTAACTAACGTGCTACAATCTGGGAAACTACACTTCTCACTGGGAACATTTTTTTTTTTTCTGTTGGAAGAGAAGATTTGAGCATTTTTACTGCTTAAGTCCTAAATGCTATTGACACGTCTCCAATGAATTTGGCAAAACTGAACAAATCATTTCCTTTCTCAAAACAGAGATTTGATTTTTTTTTAAAGCTGTCTTTCTTGAGGTTTCTTAGAAACTTCGTCTACCTACCTCATTTCATTGTTTACAAATGGGAACAAGGTAAGATATTTTCTGAGATTCCTGTAATGGATTCCTCATAGTTCTGATAATCTACTTCCTAATGGAGATAGAATATTAAAGGTAGGCTTTGCTGTTTATTTTTCCTGATCTGAAACTACTTTAAGAAAAGTCATCTAACCTACAAGTATGAAAATTATATGTATAATATTTATACAAAAGGGAGAAAAAAGTGGTTCTTACTTGGTATTCATAATAAAGCCATGAACAATTTTTTTAAAGACTTCATTCTCTAGTTCTCTGGGAAGAGGAGTTAATCAAGAGAAATGGCAAGAGGGAATGAAATTTATGAGCTAAAGAAGGCAAAGAAGCAAAACTTGCAGGAAGGACATGCAAGAACCAACAATTGAAATAAGTAGATAGGCAATGAAGAAGAAAAATAACCATAAAGTAAAATTTAACTACTTAGTTGAATTTGGAAACCTCTTACTTAACATCCTTAGGTACCTTCATATCTATGTACAGGTGCACATCATAAATTCCTAGTTACTTTTACTTGATCATCTTTTCTTTCTGGCACTTACACAAAGGGCAATCAGCAGATCTCCTGTCTAACCCCAACACACAGATCTGGAGCTCTGCTGGGGTGAAAACGAAGTTCTGAAATTGCTGGTTTGTGGGAAGGAGAACCTCAAGGAGCAGAACACGGAATTCATAAACTCAATTTTGCTTTTATTCACACAAGTAAATTACTGGTATGTGAGAACATTTAGTTCCTTTTGATCCTTTTTTTCACTCAAAATCCTATTCTAACCTAATGGTAAAAAAAAAAAAATCTTCAAGTAAATATTTAATCATTTCTTAAAAACTGGTTTTAAAAAATTCTCTTGGTGATGTTGAATTTTTATTTTTCTTTGCAAAAGAACTGTAGACACTGATATAAGTCCTAAGTATATATAGATATATTTATAAGCAGTCTTGAATTTCTTAATATTAATATAAAAAGCCATAATGATCATAAAGTTTTGAGTACACTGTCTCAAACTCCTGATACAATTAATCTTAATACTGTCAACTTACATGTAATCTCATGATGGTAGCTACCTTTAATTTGAGAAGTCCTTCACATACACTCAACTTGCAACAATTTCCACTTATAACAAGAAGTCATTGTGTTCCCTTCCTCAGAGCTTTGGACTGGCAATGCATTTTTGTAGACTGTGCCACATGACTCTTGTTAGATGTCATTTCAATCCCAGGGAACACGTGGCAATGAAGAGAGGAAGCTCTGTGGCTGCTGAGAAGAGGTCCTGGGGTCCTCTCCATGAGGAGCCTTTTATCCTCAGTGGATGCTTCCTTTACAAAAATCAATTTTTTTAAAAAAATAACAAAGAGAAACTCAGGAAGTTGGAAAAGGCTAAACCCAGAAAATGAAACAACTGGAGGATGCCAGTATCTTAGAATGAAATTTGGCCAGATTGAAGAACAAAGAACCTTACACTGAATGCCCTTTCTTTGCTGATTCTGGCATCATTTTCTTTTAAACACAGGTTTGGATCAGCCCAAAATGGCAGCAAAAGCTGTCTCCCTGTTGTTATACAGGGAAAGGATGGGGACTATGAGTTGTGACACTGAAAGAATAGTTTACTTGTTTAAAGAATATTGAGATGGGATGTTCAAGTATTTGTTTTGTCTGTTCTGACCCTCTTTTTACTCTTATGATTTTCTTTTCATGTTTCTTTTCTTTTTTTTAAAGATTTTATTTATTTAATCATGACAGAGAGAGAGAGAGAGAGAGAGAGAGAGAGAGAGAGAGAAGCAAAGACATAAGCAGAGGGAGAAGCAGGCTCCATGCAGGGAGCCCGATGTAGAACTCAATCTCAGGTCTCCAGGATCACCCCCCGGGGCTGAAGGCAGCACCAAACCGCTGGGCCATCGGGCCTGCCCCTTTTCATGTTTCTTAATTACTCAGAAAGAATAATCCAAAAAATATTTTTTAAAAATGTAAGCTAATAAATGCAGTTTTTTACATCATTCAAGATGTCATACTAATTTTCTCAACCTTCTCTAAACCCTTTATTCTAGAAAAAATGAAAAATTTCTGAATCCTTCATTAGGGCACATTATTCCTGGTTCTAACTCTATCCCTGCCTATATGTCTCTTACTTAACTATCTTTGATTCTGTACAGAAAGCTAAAAAATTGAATTATGTGTCCCCTTTAGATTTAGGATACCTCTCTTGTCAGCCGTAGTCTTTCCCACCCCAACAAACACCACTCCTAAGGAAGAAGCAGACACAGTTTGCCTTCACATCAAGAAACTGTTCTTTCTGAGAGTCAACTGCATGCTCATTCCCCATAGAGGAGGTGAGTTTTACAGGGATTTCCGGAGTCACTAGGAAGTGCACTGCGATAAAAGAAATCTTAGACCTGAGACCAGCTTGGTCAGCTTTATTAGGAAGTTTGTCTACTTTGAATCTCATTTTTCATTTCTGAGTTGTCATAGCTATTGTAGACTTCATCCTGTAACTTCGCACAACTGGCAAAGCTGAATATAAACCAAAGCCATATGTTTGTATCCTTTTGCCAAACGACTCAAGCAAATAGTTCTATTATTCCCTTAGGTAGACAACGTGTGCCAAGGATTTCTATTAGTCGCTGTACCACGGCCTCTGAGTCACAGCTTTGTGACATGAGGGGGCAATCGCCAGCTTTATGTTTTAGGAGACTTTTTTTTTTGTATTTCTTAAATATGCTCTGTTTAAAGATAAGTCAGAGTAAGTAATACCTTAAAAGGGCCTTAAAATTTTTTTCTTGCCCTTATATTGAGATGCTTGTGTATAAAATATATAATTGTTGGAAGACAAGCTCCTTCATTTAGGGATAAATTATTTTAAATAGGTTTTTCCCAAGGACAACTCAATTTCTTACTTTCCAGTGTTTGTAAGAATTAACTTTGAAAGTCATCTACAGTGCTTTTAAAAAATATGCATTTAAAATATTTCACTTGTTTATTCTTTTTCTTAAAGATTTATTTATTCATTTATCTGGGAGCAGCAGAGGGAGAGGGAGAAGTAGGCTCCTCACTGAACTGGGAGCCCAATGCAGGGTTCGATCCCAGGACCCTGGGATCATGACCTGAGCAGAAGGCAGATGCTTAACCAACTGAATCACCCAGGCGCCCCCACTCATTTGTTCTTAATCCTTAAGTAAACTAATTTCTAATACAAAAAGATTTTTAAGATGATTTTCATGCTGAACTTTTCTTTAAGAGTAAACATGTATGAACAAATAACATAAACCAATCAATACACAAAAGGGTTTGTAGACTCAGAGGACTCTGCCTGTTTGATATTTTTAAATATTAAAGCGATCATGCTTCTGACAAAAATCCCAACTCTAAATTGAGTACTAACAATAAATTTCTTTCAAAGCAAACTCACAAAGGAGAACTTTTATGTAAATGCTTTGATTGGATGCATTTTATTTCAATATATTTTTTAATAAAAAAAATATTGCCTTACCTCTCTTTTTCTCCAGGTAGCTTGTCTGCCAACTTGGTTTGCCCTGCTCTGTCAAAGTGACTAAATGTCTTTGTCCACTTCAGTGAGAAATCCTTAAATTCATTCTATTAAGATCAAAAATAAAAGAAGGAAGGTGTGTCAGGTCGGCCACAGTAAACAGAAAAGCAGTAGTGAACAACAACGCATTGACACTTTTACCTGTAATCTGGTTGGGCTCTACCATAGACAGAACAAAAAATTTTATTCTACAATATCAATCAGAAAAAGACATTTTTAAAGGCAGCTAAGTTCATTTTTGTCTTCATTACTGAACTATATATATTATATTTTCGATTTGGTAGATAAACTGGATAAGAGGTACTGTCTGTTATCACTAGTGTTTTTACTTTTAACCACCAAAAGAAAAAGTTCAGACAAGATTTGGAAAGTGCTATCCTCAAGAAATCACAAAAGACGATTCAAAATTCATCCTTTCGTTGTTTAGAGTTCTTTTTAATGAGATGGTCATAAAATGTTGCTAACGTTTTTTTTGCCAGTGTTTTAACCTGTTTTCCATAGAAACAATTTGCCTTTGTTTTCCTTTGCATTCAGACATAACACGCAGAGCTGCTTCACCTCTATTTTGTCCCAGGGATGGGAACAGAATCTGTCTTCAGGCCATTTGGCCTTTGAGAGAAAACTTTGAAATTCGGTGTAGTATGCTCAGCATCCTAGGGAGGGGCTATTCATGCAAATAGCACATACAGCAAAGCACATCTAAAGTGTTTACATCTGGCAGTTCTGGTACTTTAAAATACAAGCCACCAACCTTCCTTGCAGAAGATTTCTATCTTCCTGTATTTTACCCTTTGCAGTAGACTGAAGTGCTTGGCTTTTTAACCATAGATTTCTGTATCACTGGTAAGCTTTGACCAGACATTAAGCAGATGCTTCTTCAAGTCAACTGTAGTTCCTAGGGAAAAATAGGTATAAAACTCTCTCAAGTGATAGAGCAGATTATTGAACACGATGTAAGAATTGAAAAGTGGCACAGGAGCTTGGGAATTCTTAGTTTATGTTTGATTGCAACTGGGAGGGGAAAAAACGGCTTTCTCTACAAATGCGTTTGGCTTATTCTACTTCACTCTCAGTTCAGAAAGAGTCTCGAAGCTTTCCACCTGCCTATTCCCTTTTGTTTGCCATACTCTAACCTAAAACAAAAGATCCTGGAAAACAGTCACACTGGTGAGCAAAGCTCTTTCTAAATCCTGAAAGTAATGGCTTTTTGTCTAATACCCTATCGTGTTATGTATTTATTAGCAATACATTTTCCATTTATTTTCTCAAAGATTGCCAATAAAGAACTGAATCACATAAGGGAGTAGCTGTAAACCCTCTGAGTTCCCTAATGTCAAACTCATTAGCATCCGAATAAGCACACAGCAGCACATCATCTGCACAATTGCAATTTTTTACTACTTTTAATAGCGTTTCTCAAAGGGCTCATTTTCAACTTTCTTCGGTGGTTAGTTGGTTCTCAGGGGAAAAGGAGCTTCCTGACGCTCGCAGCTTCCACTCAACAACCCGGCCGTTTGCTGTCAGATGCATCAGCCCTCTGCCCTAACCCCATCTGCTGTCTCTCCTCTCCCTGGGGAGTGGAGTGAAGGCAGCACAGCTGAGATCGACTTGGAGAAGTGCACAGAGGGCGCCAACAAAATATAAGTTTAGAAATATGATTTGACACAAAAGGGCCTGAGAAGTCCAAGTACACCAAAATACAAATGGGAAATTCGAGCTCTTCCGAGGTTCCCCACTCCATGTATCTATCATTAATAACTCCCCCCCCACCCCACCCCACCCCTGCTTTTTGGAAACACACTCTTGGCTGGTACCAAAAGGAATCTTCTGCTGAAATCAGTTCCCTCCATCCCTTACACATGTCCTCTTATCACAGCGAGGGGATACCTTTAAAAACCCACTGTTATTAATTGCCATACTTCGGTCTCTTTTCACTGATCTTAAACCATTTTGTAAAATTTCAGGACTTACTCATATATTCATAGAACATAGACATTCTGAAACAGTTAACTTAAGACTTGGAATCTTGACCAAGTTCCCACAACTGGCAAGACAGTTAGCTCTATCCCCCTACCAGGATGAACACTTTTCCATTAAAGCTCATATTTTTATGAAATGCCAATCTTAAAAGATAAAACTATATGACAACCACCAAAGTGTTACTAGCCTAATGGGCTACACAGTCCTTAAATGTGCTCTCTAATTAAGACATGGCTTTACTTGTTAAATGGAGTCATCACAAAGTACTTCATTTGTCTGCTTTACTATGTGCCAATAATTAGGGCCTCTCAGTTCTTTACAGCTGCTTCATGGGTGAGTACTTGCTTCTGAAAAAGACAGTTCCTTCAACCATTGATACAATAGAATGAATGTGCTGTGTTATTTTTTAAAATGGTATATCAGATTATATTTCAGTAGTGGTCCGGGACTGGGTGAGTGAATGACCTAAAGTGATATGATATGTATGTCGGTTTTATCCCTAA